TGTATGCCATTCCAGCGTTACAGTGGTGGAGTCGGTAGGTGTGGCCAAACGGTGGGGCTAGACACAGGGTCGATGACCCAAAAAGAGTGCTAAATTTTTGCTGCACATGCCAAAAAATGCAGAGAATAATGCTGAGCTTATGTGTTTAGATGTACACTGTCTGGTCACTAAACATGAACATATCCAGATGAGCAAAGCACCCAAAATGCACCACCATATTTACAGAGCTCATGGCTGGATTAATCCATACATGAGCTCCCCCTGCCACACTGAGATAATCCTTACTGAAAAGGAGCAAAGTGCTCCTAAACCAGAGGAGGAAGTTGCACAAAAGAAAAAGATATCCTGGAAGAAACTGAAGAAACAAAAATTTATGGCACGGGAATAAATTAGGCATAAAATAACTGCAAATAAAAGTAAAAACAAAACAAAAACCCAAACCAACCAACAAAAACAATAAAACTTTGTACTGCTACAGGATGTTTTATCCCCACACATACAATACTTCCCCAGCATGGCACCTATCTAGCTTCACTCTGTCTATCCAAATTCACCTCCAAGTTACCCCTCCTCTGGATCAGGCTTCTCCACTTCCACCAGGAATTCTAATTTTTAAGCTTCTATAGGACTTCATTCTACTCCTCATTCTGATACATAATTATATGCTCCCTCTTATGGCTTAACTGCTTGATACAAGGATATACCATCATTTCAACTAAGGAATCAGGCTAGTCCCTTAGGATCAAGACCCACATCCAACATGATTCTCTGGAACCCTCAATACCTAACACACATATAAAATCAGTTCTAAAGAATACTATTAAGTGAATGTGACAGGTCGTTACCTGATGTACGATTTCTTTTTGGTTTTCTAAAATTATAAAATTTTGCAATATATATAGCAAATCCTAGAAGGTAACACCAAACACTGGCTTTTTAAATGTTACTATACTGTCATGTTGTATTACAAATTTTTTAAGGTGATAAAACTTTGTGAATGCCATTGAAGGAAAAAATGAAAATGAAATAAGACTTTTTCAGACAAAGGCTGAAAGAACTAATTATCCATAGGCAAGCATAATATGAACGTTAAAGTCCTTTACACCTACAGGTCAAGGATCCTGGATAGAGATCTAAACTCACACAAAGTAGAGAACAGCACAGTAATGGTAACTATGGGTAAACACCAATTATTTACCTTCTAGAAAACCTCTGCGAGATAAGTATGCAAGTAAAAATGGTAAACATACATTATAGAGTTCAAAATAGATGTTTAGATCAAATTCATAACTATATTAGCAAAAAGGCCAGGCCAAGAGGGCAGGAAGCAGGCTGCTTTTCAGGGCTGCAGTTTGGTACTTCCTGTGGGCTGTACTGAGTGGAAGTGGATACTCTAAACCTGTTCTTTCTATATATACCTATTTACACTGAAATAAATGAAAATTAAAACAAAACGAAAGTTAGATCCTCAGTCACACTACTCACATTTCAAATACTCTCTAGTGCCATGCAGGTGGTGGCCTGCGTGTCAGAGTTAGACAGAATATCTCCATTGCCATGGGAAGTCCATTAGACTATGTACAAGTCTGCTGCAGCAACTATGCATGTTATAAGAATGGAGATGAAATGGACTCAAAGAAAAGAGAGAAAAAGCAAAAGCAAAAGACAAATGGAACAAAGAGAAAACAAATAGCACGATGGCCTACTTAAGGTCACCATATCTATCCTACCACTCACACAAAATGCAAGTCATCTAAATACCACAATCAAAGGCACAGCTTGTCCGGTGGACCAAAAGCAAGAGCCATCAAATGTTCCCTATAAGAAACTGACCTTGAAGATACAAGTAGATTAAAAGTATGGTAAAGACATACCATGTTAACCTGAACCAAAGGAAGGCTACAGCAGCCGTGATATCATCAAAGCAGATTTCAGAGACAAAAATATTACCAGGAATAAAACTGCCATACATTTCAAATTGGTAAAGGGATTACCTAATCAAAATAACATGCTGCAGCCATGAACATGCATGTATGTAACTACAGAGCTTCGCTATTAAGAAGCAAAGACTGACAGAACTGCAGGGAGAGCAGACAAGTGCAGTCAGAGAAGACTCAAACACCCCTCGGTAAACTTACAGAGCAAGCAGAAAAGGTAGCAAGGGTATGGAAGACCTCAGTAACTCTACCAACACACTTTGCCTTACTGTCATTTATAAAAGCAGTGTAAAAAGAATACACACACACACACTTTTTTTTGGTACCGAGGACCCAACTCAGGATCTTGCACTTGTCAGGCAGGTGCAACATCACTGGGCTACATCCCTGGCCCAGTAAAAAGAATATTTCCCAAAACAATGATTAGACCATGAGATACCAATAGATGCAAAGGACTCAAATCATATAAATTATGTTTTATGACCACAATGAACTAAAATTAGAAATCAGGAATAAAGATTTATGGAAAAATCTCAAAATATTTGGAACCAAAACATACTTTTAAATAACTATGGGAAGTCAGGAGCAGTGGTTTACACCTATAATCCTACTTATCCAAGAGGTTAAGGAGAATTCCAAGTTCAAGGGTAGCCTTGGCAACTTAATGAGACTATGTCTCAAAATAAAATTTAAAAACTATGGGTCAGAAATCAAACTACCTGAAAACAAATACAATAAACTGAAGTTTGTGGGATGCAGCAAAATTAGTACCCAGAGAAAATTTTCTAGCACAAAAGAGTTAATGTTAGAGAAAAGAAAAGATCTCAAAGCAAATTACTTCAATCTACTCCTTAAAAAAAACAGAGCCAGGCATGTTGGTGAGTGCCTGTAATTCCAGCACTCTGGGCAGCTGAGACAAAGGATCACAAGTCACAAATTTAAGTCCAGTATGGGCAACTTTGTGACTTAGCAATACCTTACCTCAAATATTTAAAAAAAAAAAAAAAAGCTTGCTATGCACCTCAGTGTGAAGGCCCTGGATTCAATCTTCAGTCTGTCTCTGTCTGTCTGTGTGTCTTTCTCTGTCTTGCTCAGAAAAAAGAGCAAAGAAAACAAAGCACACAGAAGAAAAATACCAAAAACTAAAGTGATTATCAATGAAGGAAAAGGATCAAGATGAAAAATCACCAATTAAGCCAAAAGTTAGTTCTTTGAAAAGGCTGATAAAAATTTATAAACTTCCATTAGCCAGGTTCATGAGACACAAGTATTAGAAACAAAAGTATGCAAATAAATTACATAAGTTAAAACGGACAAGTTCTTTTAAAGTTAAAAACTTCCACAGCTTACTGAGTAACAGGGAAACTGAGCTGCTACACAGCTATAATTAAGACTATCTACTAATTTAAAATCTGCCCAAAGAAAGCTCCAGACACACAGATTGCCCTGGAAGATTTCATCAGAAATCTAAGAAATGATTCCAATTCCACAGACTCTTCTAGGATTGTGGAGAGGAGCTGTACCTCCTGAGGCAGTCAATATCCAAAGTCAGCATTATACAGATCTCAATGCCCAGCACAAACACCAGGAGAAGAGAGGACTGAAAAAAACAATGCCTCTCATAAACACAGGTGTAGAAATCTAAGCAAAAAGTTTAGGAGGGCTGGGGATTTAGCTCAGTGATTCTGGCACCTGCCTCACAAGTACAAGGTTCGGAGTTTGATCTCCAGTATCCACCAAAAAAAAAAAAAAAAAAAAATT